AAGAATTATCTCAGCAGAAAATATATTTATAGCTTAACCCAGTATACACCAATAAAACATAAAATCAAAATTTCAGGAAAGCATACTTAATCTTACTTTGTACAATGTACTTTGCTATTTTCTATTCTACTCTTTTCTTCTCTTGTTTCTTTTTTTTTCTTAATGTACCACCCACACCTATTTCTCTACTCAGTTGGGAAACCTCTGGTCTAGGTGTTAATGCTGACTTTGTCTCTTAGTTTCCTGCAGGACCACGGCCACTGGCCTGGTCCTGCATGAGTCACCTGATTCAACATACTCAGGCCCTGTGCCCTCTTCTCTCCACTCTGGGTCACTCCAGCCCCAGCCCCTACAGTGCTCTGGCTGGGCCTTGGCCATAATTCCTGCTGACTGGTGCCTGTTCATTGGCCCTGGGAGCCAGGACATGCCAGGGACGGGTCACAACCACAGCTTGACCTGCTCCTCCAGGCGGGCAGTGCAGCAGCTGAGAGTCTGACGTGGGAGCCAGACTGCCAAGGGAACGAATCCTGGCGATGCTGCTGCGGATCTTGACCAAGTTAATTCAGCTTGCCAACTTCCCCGTTTTATGTCAGGGGGGCTGAGTGGGGATGTGGCCTCAGCAGGGCCCCACTGCTAGTTTACAGGGGAATCGTGACCGCAACCTCAGTCCTGGCCATGTCCCGCCATAGACCTGACATTCTCCTCAGCCCGGGGAAACCAAAGGAGCTACAGACCAGCAGCTGTGCCCTCCTGGCACAATACCCAGCACAGAGCAGGCACTTGTATGTATTCCGAGCTGAGCGAGCAGGAGCTGGTCTAACGCTTTCAGTGGTCGTAAATCTGCTCTTAAGGCAACGTGGTGGTGTCTGCTAATCGTCCCCGAGCGCTCTGCTCTCCTTCCTAGGGTCACTGGTGTTTAGCTAAGCACACGGGCACTCAGAATCAGTCTACATTTCCTAGATTTCTTTGCAGATCATGTGACAAATTCTGGCCGATGGGATATAAACAGAAAGGCTGTAGGTAACTTTAGGAAAGAGCTTTTTAAGCAAAGGAGCGCTTTGCTCTCCCACCTTCATACTAGCTGGAGTGTAGATGTGATGGCTGGATTCAAGCAGCAATATTTAGTCATGAGGTAGAAGCCATGTGTTGAGGATGCCAGAACCACAAGACAGAGGGAGCCTAGGACAGCACATTCTTCCATCACGGGGATACAAAAGGTCTTGGACTTAGCATCTTCAGATGTTAGTTATTATTTACTGTAATGTTACTTTTTGTTTCTCTTATTACTTGTTAATTTGATCTGGCCCAGTAGCCCCTTCTCTCCATATCAGAAAATCATATCACCTGTTTTAGGCCAAGTCAATGCCCAGGTAGGGTGAGCCTAGGAAAACGGTGGTCTTAATTCAGAGTCCTACTTTGGCAGTTACTCCCACATGTGCCCGTGAAAACTGGGCACCTGGAGGATCTGGAGCCCTCTAGACTAGCAGGCCTCATTGGCCCATACTTCAGCCCCAAGATACCTGCTTCAGCACCTGCCGGGGCACCCAGCCTCCTGGCAAGCTTCATCTAGCCTGAACTTCCCTCTGTTCCAGTGCGCAGAGAGCCTGAGACCAGGAGTAGGACCCCCCCAGTTCCCAAGACAAATCCCCAAAGTTGAGGATTCTCTAAACAGGCTTCCTGCAGCCTCACTCAGGCATCCCCATCTCCTCCTCCTGGTGTCCGACACACCTGGGAAAATATTTCTGTGGAGAGGCACCGGGTGGAGTCCTGAGTCAGGCAGATCCAAGTTCAAGGCCATCTCTGCCACTTACTAACTGTATGCTGCTTAGTTTCCTCCTATCATCTTGGAAGAAAAACCGTACCCACCCCATTAACCTGACAGAGCTTGGAAAGGAAGCCTACACGGTAAAGTTGCTCAGACCCTGAGAGCACAAAAGAAAAAACGTACCTGATTTCCTCTTTGTGGTGTGTATTTACAGACACAGTTGATCTGACCGTCTGAGCCAGTAGAAGTGAACCTCCTTGAGCTGAGCTCCAGACAGAAGCCTGAGACCCTGCGAGATTACCCAGAGGCAGGGGTGCACCAGCACAACCCCAAAACTTCAGTTAGCTAAAGAAGCCTCTTCCCACACTTTTAGGCTTGAAGTGCCCTGCAGGTAGCCAATGAGCTTCAGCCAAGCCCCTATCTCTTTGCTCCAACTGTCTTTGAAGCCAATAGAATCTAACCCCTTTGAGGCAATAGGTTAAAGCTTGCACTGGGAAGGCTCTCAGCAGCCACTGCAGCATGAGTTCAATCCCTGGCCAGAGAGCTGATTCACATGGCACGCAGACCTCTCCTGACCCGCCCGCTGCTCCCCTCAGCAGTGTACTTCATCCATCTGCCTGTTCTGCTCCCACTCTGTCTCTGGTGAACCCTCTCACCCCCCACACCTCTGGCCTGTACCCCAGTTCTGGAAGCGTAAATAAATAAATCTTTAAAAAATAATCTAACTCCTGCACTCAGTCCTGGCCCCTAACTCATATATCCTCATTTCCTTTCTCAATGGGGGAGGCAGAGTTGAGTGCCCCTCCCCCAACTCTTTGCTTTTGGCCTCAATAAACTTGCTCTCTCCAAGCATCTGACTTCCCATATTTCAGGTTCAAGAACGTGCATCAGACACATAGGCCTGGCTTTATAAGGCCAGTAACACAGGGACAGAGCAGCACAAAGACACACGAGCTATTTTTATCATCATTTTTAATAGGAGGGGGCTGAGCCTTGGGTCTCAGCAGGCTGGCGACCTGGGCGTCTGCAGGAGCCCTCGGGGACAGGCTAATTTAGACCCTGGCCATGGAACACTGGGGCTTGCTATAAAGGGCTCTTCTGGCAGCCGCTGAGACAGGAAATGAGGTTTGCAAAGTCCAGGTCAGACCTGTGGGCCAAGCGACAGGGACAGCTGGTCCTCCCTGGGGCTCCCATCACCCCAGAAGCTGCTTTCCTGTTGTGGAAAGGGGCGGGAACTTCCCCCTGCCACTCGGGGAAACCAGCAGCCCAGAGCCAAGTTGGCCCCAGCTGAGTTAGCCAGTGCACACAGAGCCCTCCACGACAGAACCCACCCAATCCTTGACCATAACACAGTGCACACAGGTGATTTCATGCCGTGCACCTGCTTCTGTTTGGAGGTCTTCTCTCCACCCAGATCTCAGGTTATGTGATTGGGCATCCAGCCCTAGGTACCAGGGGGTGTCATATGACCCAGGTCTAGTCAGCTGCGTTGGGGTGCCTAGCCACAGGGATTGGCTCAGAGGCAGGCATGGGACTCAAGGCAAACCAATCTGGCTCATCCCAGGGAAGACTGGGGTTTCTGCTTGAGCAACTAAAGAGAACACCAATCTTTCCTGCAGGATATGAGTCTGGAGGGAGCTGAAACCCCCAGAGAACAAAGCTGAAGAGTGGAACAAGAGACGACAGGAAAAATGAAGAGTGATGACATCATTTGAGAATCTGAATCCAAACCATGAGTGAAGCCAAACCATCCTCCTGAACGCCAGAATTACAAATCCTTGCTTTTTGGAGGTGGGAGGGATGACTTGATTATACATGGGTTTTTTGTCATGTGCCATATGAAAAGTGCAAAACTCAGTGGGATCTTGGGATCACTGTATATTGTCTCTATATAATTAAAACTGCGTGTGGATAAGAAGCATGCAACTCCCACACTAAGGCCACCAGACATGACCACATAACCCGAATGTTGCTTCACTGTACCTTTGCAACAGGCCACGGGCAACTGCTTCCCCCTGCAGAGGCAACCGTGTCCCAATCTCCTAGGGCCACTGTAGGTCTCGCCAACCTCTGAATCACACACTTTCCCTGCCACTTCTTAATCTGTTTCAGCCTTATGTCCTAATGTATTGATTTTCTGGTGTCAGACAAATGAGATGTTCGCTTCCCCCACCACTTTCTTTCCCCACCCCACGCCCAGACTTGTAGGTCTTTCCCTTTAGATACTGTGCCAAGCATTGGGCCTTATGCCACTAGCCAGAAGTGATGGGTTTCTTAGGTTAGTGTGAGCTTGTTAGTCATCTCACCATGAGAAAAAAGGAAAGAGGTGCGTTTGTGATGCAAATGAGTGATACGAAAGCAGAAGAGCCCTTTGCACTCATCAACCTCAAAAATGTATGATTTTTACAGAAAAAAAGACAAATAGCAGGCACTCAGCTTACTGTACTCAGGCACCTGCTCAACCCTGACCTGGCAATGCCAGCGCTGCCAGCCCCCAAGGTATGTGCCCACCTCTGAGGAGGCCACTTTGGGGGGGAAGCTGAGCACAGCGAGGATGTCCTGGGAACCACCTGCCTTGTGCCAAGGATCTCTCGTGCTATAGCTTGAGTTTCCTTCAAGCCAGAAACAAAAACCAATTTGCACCCTCTGCCCACCACAGCATTAATAATCCATATTTTAATTCACAATTATTTGTAGCAGGGAAGATATGGAAACAACCTAAGTGTCCACTGACGGACAACTAGAAAGATAAAGGTGAGATAGATGAGGGAATATTACTTAGTCTTCAAAAAGAAGGGAGTCCTGCCATTGCAACAGGGGTGACTGGAAGACATTCTGTGAAGTGACTTAAGTCAGACTCAGAAAGACAAATGCTGCATGATCTCACTTAAATGTGGGATCTTAAAAAAAAAAGAACTCAAAGAATTTGAGAGCAGAATGGTGGCTGCCAGGGCTGGGGGGTGAAGAAGTGGGAGATGGTAGTCAGACGTACAAAGCTTCAGTCACGCGGGATGAACGCATCCTAGAGACCAACAGTATGTGTGTGACTGTAGCAACAACACTGCACTGTGCACTTAGCATGTGCTAGGACAGAGCTTACGTGTGCACACCGAGTGGCCATGTGACGCAATGAAAGGTTAATGACCTTGACTGTGGTGATTTTTCATGGTGTATAATATATCAAAATATCACATTGTACCCCTGAAATATACACAACCCTTGTTTGCCAATTATAACTCAATAAAGCTAGAGAGAGGTGGTCAAACACCAGTTTCGCTGTCCAAGGGCCTGTGGTCCACAAGGCTGGCCTGTTTGAGTCTTGGCTCCCCGATCAGGGGCAAGAGCCCCCCTAGACAACGGACTCTAATGTGCAGGCTGTGACGCAGAGTCTATATCCCCCACACTGACACTGAGCAGGATTCAACATGTGCTAATCTAATGCTTACCTGAGCGGTGTTGTTTTTATTTACTGGGGGCTGCTGACCAATGTGAGCAGCAAAAGGTACTAAGTCAAATATGGAACTGAGAGTTATGTGTTTGCACCCCAGTGAGTAGTAGATGCTCATGAATAAACACTGACATGGCTGAGAGAATACAGTTTATGTCAGGAGAGAAGGACTGCTTCACAGAGGCCCCCTCACCCCCACTCAGCCGCCCCCTCATGTCAGCCCTCTCTCCCTACCTGCTCTGCCCAAGAGCCAGTCACCACTCAGGACCAAATCTCCCCGCCGGGACCTGGCACCAGCAAGCTCCTCTTCCTGGGGTTCCTTTCCCAGTCAGCTGCAGACCCTGTTCACGCCTCGATCCAGCTCAAATGTTTACCTCCTCAGATCAGAAAGCCTTCACTGGGTGGTGTGGCAGGTGGGTGTGTGGGTGGGGGGTGTGTCAGCTCTCAGTACCTACCCCAGCAGCTGTTCTGATGGATGAGATCTCAGGCATGTGGTACCTGTCAGAAAACTGGTGCTCAAAAGTACCAGTTGCTCTTATGTCCTGGCCATCCCTGCCTCCCCGTAGGTCAAGGCCCTGACCCCAGGCCCTCTGTTAGTATTTCTATCATTCCCAGAGTCTGAGCAGTCCAGGCAGAAGAAATAATGATCTCCCCCACAAAAGAAGTCCAGACCTAACTCCGGGACTTGTGCGTACCTTCCCTTACATGGCAAAAGGGAGTTTGCGGGGGGGATTAGTTAAGGACTTTGACATGGCAGGTTATTCTGGATCAGCTGCTGGGCCCAATGTCACCACAGCCCTTGGGCACAGCAGATAGGAGAGAGGGCTGACAAGAGGGGGCGGATGAGTGTGGAGGTGGACGGTCAGTCAGGGAAGAGATGAGACAACAGGGGTCACAGGGGAAGCTCAGGAGGGGACGGGCCACAAGCCCCAGAGTGCAGGCAGCTTCTAGAAGCTATAAAAGGCAAGAAAAGATTCCCCAGAGCCTCCAGTGGAAACCCAGTCCTGCCAGTACCTCAGCTTTTGAACTTCTGATCTCCAAACCCATGAGATAATAAGTATGTGCTCTTTTTTTTTTTTT